TTGAAGGTCGCAGTATCTCTGCTTTCTTTCTCTTCCTCATCAATACAGTCTGTATCTGGCCACGTCCCCCTCTCATACTTGCCAACCTTGAGACCACAGAAATCGGGAGCATTTCAAAATGCAAAATGGGGGGGGGATGATAGCTCATGAGACTTCAAAGGTCTTTTATTTTGAAACTCTACATCAGAATGTCCTGATTTTTTTGTTTTATTCTCATCTAAACACAGAGGGATGATTTGTTTTGACTCTACCGTAATGCATAGGATATTCGCGCACCGCAATATCACGTGCGGGCTGGCTTGACTAGGTTTTCCCGAGTGGAGGCTGGCTTGACCGCAGTCAGAGAGTAGAGTAGTTGTCGATTCTTGTTCTGTTTTCTGTGACTATCTGCCTCACCCTCTCAGACTTTCAGTTGCGCGCTACTAAAGAGATGTGTTACCATGGAAACCAAACAATGGTGTAGCTGTATTAAAGTCTGAGTGGAAACAGTCCTGGGTATCTGATTTTGTCAGAAATTGGGAGAAATATGACCCCGGGAGGAAACCGGGAGAGGGCATGAAATCGAGTCTCCCTGCGAAAATCGGGAGGGTTGACAAGTATGGTGTAGTCAGCAGTAGTTAGTAGTAGTACCCTTTTACTGAAAATCACAACTTCTCTCCTATGTGAGCATTTCATAATTGATAGTTTTGTTGGACGAATACAAGCAATTTGAAGATGTCACAGATGTGTTATGGGGAAAAGTCATGTGCTTTCTGACTTATACAGACAAAACAATGAAGTTAATCCAATTTTGGATTTTGTTCACAAATATAATTAAAAGCTTATGTTGCATATTTGATTGCCACTAAATAAAGGTTCAAATAAAGCCATTTAATGTTTCGTACGTATATACATAAATATTACGCTGCACTCTATATAAAAATGTGTTTAATGTGGTTTGTGTGTGTGTTTCATATTTTACATAACTAAACTCCTGGTGTTCAGGTCTGTTTGGCTGTTATCTGTTGCAGGCCAGCTTTGCCTTAAAAGCAGTTATGGCAAACTTTCTGAAGCACCCCACACCACTCGGGCTGTCCACTGAAAATGTAAATTACAATGTAATTATTTCCCCCCCCCTCCACACACAGCGTCCCGATGGCACAGACTGTGCTTCTGATGCTTTTTGCTGCCTGCCCTTTAATTTTCTCCTGCAGGCCAAAAGCGAGCACATACTTCAAGACTTTATCTCACCTCAGGGCAAGGCTAGGAGAGTTGGTCTCATTTGTTTTACTGGATACAGGAAATCGTTTTTTTTAATATGGACCTCACCTTGATCGTTTACAGATGGTAAAAGTCCGGCATGCCCAGTATCCCATCTATGAATGCCCCCTACTGAGAATCTGGCTTGTTAAACCCCAGACTGTTGGAAAGCTAAACCTGGACTGGCGTTTCTAATTGAAGCATATGAATATTATGACAGAGGCAGCCTCTTCTCCTCGGTGTATTAAAGTCTGAGAACTTGTAATTAAGACTCTCAGGCAGAGTAATGTCTCAATGGCATCTATTAAGTTATTTTATCCTTAGTTGTCGTGTGGTGTGTCTAAATAGGCCTTTTATGAATAGCTTTAGTGTAAATTGATATGGTACCTTATTTATGTTGTATAAACGCTAGAATAAATAGTGTGCTTGAGGCTTTTCCGTGAGTGTCATCAATATATAAAACCATACATATCACTCGCATCTCGAATAAGCCCCGCCTAACCCTTCTTTGAGGCGCTAGTGCGTGACACCTACCACTGTGTAGGTAACATCTGCTTCTCTTGTCTCGGGTTATATCACTCGAACAGAATACTATCCGTCGCACTACTGAGAACATAGAGTGGACCTTTGCCGAGCATTAGAGTCGAAGAACACCGATCAGCAACCGAGCCGGGTGTGGAACTGCTCACGCACTGGCATCCAGGCTGAATGTGCATTGATGTCGGGGGCCTTGTGAATGATTAGACAACCCATTAACACTTAAACCGCATAAGCACGATTAAAAGTCACTTTTAGGGCGAAAACGCCGGCTCTGCCATTCGTTAACAAATAGAGTGGTAGGACAGAAGAGACAGAGACAAGGCCAGAGAGCCAGGGGAAAGACTGGACTAACGGAGACCTAGCAGGCGCCGAGCCGACTTGTCGTCCAATACTTCCATGAACTGCATCACAGAGCTGATGAGGATAAAATGGAAGACAACTGATGAGAAACTGCAGACCTACACATTCCCCTAGTGGCAACTTGTCCAGTGGGTGCTGATTCAAAACACCAAGTTGGCACAAAGGGGGATGCCATATTGGCGTGGAGCAGTGAGCAGACCTCAGGTACACTCATGTACGTGAGACACTGCTCACTTTGTACCTGTCGCTCCGCGCATCTAAGGACCACACGACATTTCAAGATACAAGGGCAAACTGCTCGCGCGTCGCGCGCCCCATCAACACAAGAGGAAGACACATCTCAATTGGCGAGGACTGAAAATTACTGACCCTGACTGCCTCGTAAAGTGGCAGCACGGGGCGGAAAACTGCACGGCGTCCATCTTAATGCCTGCTTCCTCTGAAATCCGATACCGATTCCAGTGAAATGGTGCTTTCTGTGAACAACATCGTTCAGGTTCTAGTATGTAGTGCTGAGCCTACTGCTTATAATTGTAAAGTGCTGCTAGTCACAGCAATAGTGGCTCGGCTGTGGATTACCAGTGGGAAAAATATAAAAGCTTAATCCCTGCAGAAATAGCACGGTAGGAAATGTGAAGCTCAACAACACCAAGAGTGGAAGTGCTCAAACCTTCCATGTACGCTATAACAGTGCTCTCTCGGGATAGACCACCAAAGGCCAGCATGTTAGACATAATATTAATATAAGCTTGAAAATAGTGACATATATGTAGAGTGTCATCCATATTCACTCCCAAAAGATGGGTAATCACTTGCTATTGCCCATGCTGCTACACCAGACCTTACAGCCAACTTTCAAAGAAATCAGGGTTTGTGTAAGTCCTGAAACTGACAGACGAGCGGATCTCACACCGAAGCCGCGCCGGTACCCATAATGAGCATTTATTGTCACTGTCACATCTGAAAATGATGCGGATAGTAGGCTTATTTCTTTTTGCGGTAACATCTATACAATCTCTTTTCAGTTTGAGCTCCAGTGGATGGTTGATTCACTGCCCGACCCACAGGAGGGCCAGAGAGAGAGCTGCAACGAGCTGCCGGCCCACCGGAGGTACAGTAACACGGATCTGCTCACATCTGCTGTGTTTGTGTTTTTACTCAGGGTAATAAGCTTACAGCATGCTGAAGAGATAAACAAGGGCAGACATGATGCTGAGATTGTTGCAGAAGTGTAAACAACTCAACCAAGCAGTTTGCTATAGTAGCCTGTATCAAAAGGATTGCAGTTCATCCCAAACAATTTGCAAGCTGGACAGCAATTGGAGTTGGAGCACTACCAAACCTTTCTTGAGGGCAGAGGTAGTATAGGAGCAGGCAGACATTGTTCATTGGCTAGATCTAAACCTACAAATGCATGGAGCACAAAACAACAAACCCTTAAGTTAGCTTAATGCACACATTTTAATAACAAACAGAAGTTTTTATCAAATTAATAGATCTGAGATCAACCAACCTGCAAAGTGTAGCTAGAATTTTTGTGTTACCATTTCATCTAAAGTCACACTAAATAATGCTTACATGGCACTACTTCCTTCAACATAAAAACAACATTAAGCTAACAACATGTTTCCCTATATACACTAAACTGAAAGTTACTGAGTGCCACGCACCCCCCCACACCCAAATGAGGATAATTAAAAGTCTGTTGATAGGCACGTATAATGAGGGAATATTAAATAATGCATTTAACAAGTAACGTATTGTTGCCGTGATGCCGTTAAATAACTTTCCTCATAAACACACAGTACCTGCCTGGCTACTTGAGGTAATCAGCTGACAGAGTATGGCATTATATAAACACCTGGAAACCGACCGGCTTGTGAAGACCTTTAAAAGTGGTTTTCTCCGCCCGCCTGCCTTTCTTACCTGAGGCCAGAGCAAGCTGGCAACCGACAAGCACCGCTCTGTGCTTACGGCGTTTTGCTATCGACTCGCGAAGCAATAACTTTAACAAATTGTCTAGCATACTACCTGTATAACTCTTGTACCAGGACAGTTCAGCTGCTCATCCTAAGAGACGGCTCGCCTGAAGTTGAGATAAGTTAGCAGGAGTTTGTGCGCGGACTCAATCTGGTGAGCATCACGGAGTTAGGTACTAGTGGGTTAGCTAAACATGTTGCTCATTAGCTGCTTGTGATTTAGGCAGTTGCGAATGTGATTTCAAACAAAGCAAACGAAGGTCGTCTTAGAGCTTTAACCATATGAGACTTTATAGAGTCCACACATCTTTAAGATAATCTCGCTAATAAGAACACAGACGCCTTAACTGTAGACTTCTGAATTTCATCATTACA